TTTCCAATTAGGAGCAACTTCAGCAGAAAACATGGCTTCACTTTCGTGAAAAGGTGGAAGAGGATGACCCGATCTTTTGATTTCCTCATAAGCTTCGTGTAGATATTCATATCGTTCAACGCCTTTAAATGCATGTTCCCAGTTTTGAATATAGCCAAATATGCGACAGCGGATTTCTTCAGTTTGCTGAATTTAAAAGGGTTATTAACATCACTTTCCTTACATATGTGAACTCAAGTAGGCTCAATACGAATTCGGTGCCACAAACTTCGTCGTGTATAGGCGTTCCACAGTTTTTCATAAGGGCCTCAAGGACCTACAACAATAACATAAAACGAAAATTTACTGATAGTCCGAGCATCAAAACGTGGGGATTTTCAGGATTGAGCTTCTTCTTGAGGGATATAATGGCATCTTTTGGACTAAAAGCATAATAAAATTGATATTTTAACCTACGTTACTTCTTGACCTCGAACTAAATCACAGATCGTGAGGTTTGTCTCCCAATCTGCTTCCATCAGCAACTCGCTGGTGGATTTGGCTTAAAGCAAAAAGTATAAAAATGCTGAAAAATTACCCAATAATTTATCAAAACGTGAAGATTTAAACATATTTTTGTATCTGATTAAATTTGCGCGGCTATTCTTGTCAGAATAAACTTATGCGAATTTAGCACAATAAGTTCACTATGAAAGATAGAGTCTACGTAATTTTTTTTATTAATTTACGAAGTTTATATTTTATTTTTTCGATAGCAGTGGTTATTTATTTTCTTTGTGTTGTTAAATTTTTCAATTTATTCAACAGCTATTTGGTGGAATTTAATTATGTGCTCCATTTATGTAAATATATTTACCATTTTATTTCAAATCACCATTACATTTTATCTTCACACTATAAACTTGAATTGTAGACACTAATTATTTTTATTTCTTCATTTAATATAATGAGACCGTGAAGAAGTGTGGCCTAAATCTCTTCTATTGTGAGTTGTTTCATTCAAATTATAAGTATAATAATATTGATCTATTCCATTTTCTATCGTGTTGGCCATTGTATTCTAATTGTTGAAAATTTTGTTAACCTTGACAACTTTTAATAACGCAATCCGCACGCATCGGCTATGTATTTCAATCATCTTAGATAGCTTAATTTGCAAATGATATCTCAAGGCCAAATGTTGTTAGGAGTCCAGCATTATCTCTGCCGTCTTGAGTATCAGATTTTAGTATAAAATAATATTTGATGTATATTCCAGCACTTCAGCTATACTTTATGTCGATAAACATTGACTGTTAACTACTCAGAGACAACGCCGATTTAAAGTTATAGAAGCTTGAATGGGGGCAAACTTTATTATCATCAATATTACTAAGTAACATATTCATCTATGACTTAAAGTTAGATAGTGTCGCTCACAGTTTCTGAAGACATTAAATTGCTTTCATTTCTGATCTGATTTGAATAGCTCTACGTTCAGACCTCAATGTTTTACTGTTACTTTTTATGAGACTATTAACGTCCTAATTTTTTCCCGCCTTCAGTGTTTACTTTGGCAATTCTGCAACTTTAGTGATGGATTATTTAACCCAGATTAGTTATAATTTCACCTTTATAGTTACCCATATTACAGAAACTTGAGATGTGATGGTTGCTACAAGCATAAGTGGACAATTGAGAGCTTTCTGAAAATTGTTTGTGCTATTGGAAGATTCCTTGAAGATAGAATAGATAGGGAGTAAATATGAGTAAAAGCTGGCAAAAATGGGGAATGGTCTGATAAATGATAATGCCATACAGATTGCCATTATTGAATCACGTTATTGATCTAGTGATCAAGTCATGTTCGGTTATTTCCAGTATTCGTAAATGATAATTTACAATAATCAAAGGGACTATTGATTGGTGCCTGACGGCGCATTTGTTACATACTAGAAAAGTAGCGCTTCTGCATTTTCGAATCTGTTTGAGTGAGCTTGATATTTCCTCGTTCAGCCATGATAATGTCGGGTACTTCGCAACCCATATTGGGTAAAACTTCCAGATTGTGAAAGTTCCCAAATTTCACCGTTCAAGCATCATTCACCAATTGAAAATTGTAACGATATATTACTATTTTTAGTGTAGTGTGCTCCGCCGTTAATCTAGCATAATTATTACGCCTTCTAATGGTGTAAAATATTAACTTTGTATTTTTGCCATAGAGAATAGTATAAAACCAAAGATAAGCAACAGGTTAGCGGATAGGTGCTTGAAGGAAAGTGGTTAAATTCACCAGGTACAAAGTACGTCAAATTGGACTCCAATCGCTCATGTACGCATTTTTTTCTTCAATATCCGAACATTTAAGGCAAGAATGACTCCATGCAGTCGTAATAATTTCATTGTGCTGTTAATATTATTATCTAATTGAATTTCTTGGACTGCCATTAGTGAATAGCATATTCAGCTTACATGATTTAGTCAGTAGGCCTGGGAGATGAGAATGTGGGAACACAAGCGGGCTTCATGGTACTTATCTGTGTGTGTGTGTGTGTGTTTAATGTCACCGAAAATGGAACAACAAAATTGCCAGGTAAATTAACAAATAACGAACAGTTCCTCCCATTCACATTTTTTTTTGATTGAAAAACCAAATTTGAGCATAGCTTTACCCTGCGTAAATGATACAACTATTAGTAAAGCTTCAAGAATGAGGTCGCCAAATTAGTCAACACAGTTGGTGCCAACTTGAGTCAAAAGAAAGAGTGTATGAATGTATGATCTAACTAAGTCATGGGTGTCAGTCTCCCCTTCAATACATTCGCCTCATCGAAATTGATAAGGAAGTAACGTTAGAGACAGTAAACAGATTATAAGTTATAATCATCGGTTGGATATTCGTTTCATAAGCTAATCGACATGCACTCCACATCGTTCTGTCTAATTACAGAACACTTGATGATCAGCTTCATAATGGATTATAATATTATTAAGTGGAATATGCTGCTGTTTGACATGTCGAACGATGGCCTGAATTAATTACGAATATGGTTTATCAATATCCGACTACCATGATGGTATTCCACCCACCTATTCCTATTTTAACTATAAAAAAATCTACAAAGCTTAAATTAAAAAGGTCCAATTGTAATTGAAAATATGGGGTAACGCGTGACTGCTTCTTTCGCGCAGTTGTACGTTGGTGATAAAGAAGGCCTTTGTTGGAATTAATTGATGACTTTGCGAAATATAAATAGATGAATGCAGAACATGGAATAATGGTCAGTGGTACTGCTGCAAACGGGAAGAATGGAAAGAGTCAGAACATTGGATGGAGACGGTGAACTTTTATTCTTCATCACGTTCGTATCGCCCAAATCCTTGTTTTACAAAATTTTAAAACGAATCTAATCTTGACAAGGTAATTCATTTATTTTTGCCAATCAGTGTTGAGTTACACCCGATTTTGAAGCTTCTTTATCATCGCTATCGTTACTACCAATTAAAACCGAATCAATCTTATAAGATTTGGAATTACAATGTTCGTTATATTTCAGTTGTGTGTTTCCAGCTGGTCGCTCTCCTGTACAAACTTCCACCTACTATTTGCTCTTTATCCGGTAGCGCCGCAATCGAAAAGGTCCTGTCCAAATGGACTTACTGTGAGATGATTGGCTCATTTAGCTCTCTATGTCAAATTATCCCCTTTATTTGTCACTATCCAACAGAGATGGGATTCTGCAAGTACTCACTGAGTCATCCTCCAATGATTAAGCGATTCGTGCTAGTCAAGTAGTTTTACAACTTTTTGTGATGAGAAGCATTTAAACACACTTAAGGGTGGGGGGGACTGGAAGTCAAAAGGAACAGGGAGAACTTCTCATAACTTGAGCTCCAGCATTATCATGGCAATTTTGGCTTCAGATTGAAGTTTTTAGACTTATCTTTTATATTTACCACCTTGCTCTTTGCAATAAAATCATGGATGACAACTCTTTCCCCATTATTCCTGTGACACCCATCTATTAGCATTCTGAATTTTTGATGGTCGACCTACCAGAAACTTCTCATTTCGTTTTCGCTCGCGGCAAGTCGCCGACAATTTCTTTTTAAAGATTCCTTTCTCTTCTATTGGGAAATCATTAACCAACTTCTTATTCTTTCTCATATCTGCTTGAATTTGCTTTGACCAACACATTTGAAAGTGTACTTTTGCAATCACCAACTGTTGGTATTAGAGATTTCATCGGTGCTCTTGTTAATATTTATCCTACTCTCTGAATTCCTAACAAAATATTCACTCTTTGTAAATGTAAATGAACGTTGGGTGGGCTTTACTCTTAGGGTTTTATCACTTATGAATTTCCTTCTTTCCAACCTTAAGATCATTTTACATTTAGTGTGTCATCAATCATCATACGATTGCCTACTGTTGGATAAGCAATCAATTACACTGTTGATCTCAGAATAGGTCAAATTTTCAATAAATGTTATCGGATCATTGATCAGACTTCTACCATTCATCTATAAGCCAACGAAAGTAGTAGAACTTAATCCATTATTCTTGTAATAAGTTATTTAAAGAGGTGATTACTTCAGATATGCATCGATGTACTTCCAAATAATTTTACCATATGCCATTTCCAAAACACATTTATAAAGGCCTTTAGACGCTTCGACAGACAACATTAATGTACTCAAGATACCCCAACACCCATTAGTAGCTTTAAGAACTTATTACTCTGACTTTCAAGTGCTCACAGGTTGTATCTGCTTCATTTAATATTAACTAACATATCATATGAAATGAACTCTGGCTCTATATAGTACATTTTCTATTGACCCTTTGTAGTATTGAAAAATAAGTTAATGCAATTGACTAAATTTCAGGACAGATCAAGTTTTTGGACAGTCTTGATGGGATGGAATGATTTAGGGATGATCAAAGGTAGGAAATGCTCCTCACGAAAACTCGGTGGTTCCTCAAAGTACTTATGAAAGCCTGTTCAATTTATCTTCCAAAAAAATAAATCTGTGTTTAGTGCTTGATATGCGACTCTGTATAGTTAAGCATGTTACCTTATTAATATTTCATAGATTCCTTGTTGTTCAGATGTCTCTCGGTTAGTTTAATATCTAGACATACTTAATGACATCCAAGAGACAATATTTTGTGCCTTTCAGGCCCATTAACAAAATGTTAGTAGTACTAATAACACACCCTGTTGCTAATCTTACGATCGGTCCACTTTCTTCCGTCCCTCATATTAGCAATAATTAATCGGTGCGGCTTACGCGCCTACATCAGTGGGAAGGGTGGGGTGTGTGTGTGTGTGTGGGGGGGGGGGAGACATCATTAACAGTCAATCTCGGACTTTTCAGATATGCTCATTGGGCGTTTCATCTCTGCTATCAACGACAAATATCAAAAACTCTCACGGCAGGCTAGACTTATTTTTTTTACCAGGGAAACGACAAGGGCAATTGAATTGCTAGCCGGAATAAGACTATCCAACTTAAATCACTTGTTCGCTCCTTTTCCACTAAGGCCCGGGACTTGTACAGGTTTTGATACTCCATAATTACGTACTAGTCAAGGGAAAAAGGCATTAACATTGTTTAGCTATGGAGGGGTGTGCGATAGACTTACCTCAACGTGGTGCACCCTGGGCAACGTATACTCATACGGCAAAAAGTCTATAAACCGGCAGTTGACTTCTTACTTCAAACTACCATCACCCCACTGTATGTCATATTCGACCCCTATCACAGTACTCATCTTACCTTTTCTCTGCCTTTTTTGTCTGTCTCTGTCACATCTGCGAATCATTATTCTGTCCCCCCTCTCTACTTTTTGTCACTTTGATGTTCCTCCTCCTCTCTGTGAAGCCCGTAGTCAGCTAAAAGGCTAATGATAACTATCAAAACGCCTGCCATTTGAAATAAATGTTTAACTATGGAAATAATCTTCAGCAAGCTTACTATCCCATACTTTTCTCCAATTTACTCTTTAGTTTATGGAGGTTTCGAGAAAAATCCTACTAGGACGAAACGTATCATTATTCTTATTTTCCATGGGTGCGGAGTTACTCTTTCCCTATTTATCTAATGTAATAAAACGTGATGTACAGCATTTGTATGGAAAGTGAGCAGATTTTTTTCCTCAGTCGCTTATATTGACAATCGCCTCTTCTCTCCTACAGCTGTGGATCCTAACGATTCATTAGCATCAAGGTGGTCAATAGGAATAATGGCCTAAGGGGATAAGGGTCAGTTGCGTGAGGATATCATTAATAAATATTTTCTGATTTGCGGAATCGATAATATCCTAGGTGACATACAGCTTTTATTATTCATTGTTCATAAAATGGGATTGGTCATTTTACCAGCATCTAAGCAGTAAGTACCGTTTGGCTAACTAGTTTATCTTGACTTAAATAGTATTTTTTATTGAACTAGGTCTACTAATTGGACAGTAATATGATTAACCAATTAGAACATTATCACCCTATCAAGTTCAATTTCCGATGCAAGTAAATTGCAAGGCGTTTTAAAGTTTGACTCCCTGTCCTATCGCCCCCCCCCCACCTTTTGCTCATATAGTCACACTTTTTACATATACGGTCGTTTAATTATCAATTCTTTTCATCGTCATTTTTCAATCTAACAATTTAGGGGCTAACAATGTCGCGGTCTCACCTCCTCTCCCCCCTCCACTCCTATTGTTCCTCCACCGGAAGGGAAGTTGTGACTGCTCAAAAAATCCTCCCACCGATACCCGGAAGTTCACTTAAACAGAGCGTAAAAAGGTGCAATTTAAGCAAAACTAATGAGAACATTTTGTAATGGAAGTGTGCAGTCTTGCCACCAGTGGCTAAGAAAAAATTCCAACAAACAGCTACAATTAAGGAAAAACACCAGGGTTTAACAATACTGGTTAGCAGTTTACTGGGATTGTAAACCATAGAACTCGATTAGACAAAGAGAAGTGAAGATTGGAGGAAGGAAAATTAGAATTGTGCGAAGGGGAAGAGAACTTTCATTTGTTTGCTTATATAAAATATAAGGCGTTGGTTTGCATGAGATGTGTAAGTAGACTATTCAAACGTAGGGATTGGGGCTATTGTCACGATCTGCGGAAGGACGACGGCTTGCAATTCGGCGAGATCGATTTCGCTCGCGCATCTTTGAAGCACTTACTGCTGGACGACGCTCTTCCACAAGAATAGTGCGTTTATTGGGCTCCCCGATTTGAGCTTTAACCCAGTTCTCCATGTTTTCGTTCAATAAAACCACCTAAAATGAAAACAGCGAAATCCCTCAATAGTCCTTAACTTAGGATAAATCTGCCAATATTTATAATTGTTTGTCATACATTATATCAATTTAAAAGCGTTCCATTTTGGTCCTCTAGACATTTTGTACATAGTTTTCGAAAATGATAACTAATGTCAAAGGATGAGGAGGGTAATTCCAATCACTCGACGTGACTGACAGTGACGTTACTGCTAAAAAATGAATACCGATTTCCATACGCAATGAGACTGTTAATTATTTTTATATTTTGGAAAAGGAAGTGGAATTGAGTTCAGTATTTTACGGACACGTTGTGTGCGCTAGATTTACTTCCAAGTGGTGCACCCTGGGCAACGTATACTCATACGACAAAAAGTCTATAAACCCGCCAGTTGACTTCAAACTACCATGAACCGACACTATTTCACATTTGACCACTTCCACAGTACCCCCCTTACCCTACTATCTACCATTATGTCTATCACTTTTACATCTGTGAATCACTCTTCTGTTCCCCTCCCCCTCCTCCCTCAACTTTTTGTGACTTTGATGTTCCTCCCCTTTGTGAAGCCCGAAGTCAACTAAAGGGTTATTGCTAACTATCATAAAGCCTGGCATTTAGTATAAATTTTATGGACACCTTTTATACATTACGCAAGAAAATCGCGAACGAAAATTAGAAGGTAAGAGTGAAAAGAGATTCAACTAAGAGCGAAACTGTTTAGCCAGTTTACTACCTCATTTCTATATTCACGCTCCCATCCCAATGAGTCATCACAAACGAGACTTGTCACATAAGTTCGCCTTTCTATCTCCCACCCGTCTTCTATTGCACTGTTTAGTGCTCATCGTAAATCTCAACTGTGTTAATGGTATTTCCCAAAGCTGTAAATCTGTTTTAATATGTGGACCAAGGAACAGAGAGAGAGAGAATAAAAGGAGACTTCACAAATGTATAATACATTAGTCAGGAGGAAATCAAGTATATTTTGATACCCCAGAAAAAATTCATGAAAATTAGGTGAACAGACTCTAAATTTATCAATTATTGATATGCTGAGTTTTTACTGGCTTGGAGGGCAATTAATCTAATCCATTCAAATTTCAATAAATAAACGACACAAAGGAAAACCCCCTTTCCCACTGGTTATGGGATGCGTTAACGGTCAGATTGTATGAACTAAGTGATTAAGTATCGGTATAAATTGACTGTAATAAAGCTTCTTTATAAATTATTGCCTTTATTTATTGAATTATGGATAAAGACTGAACTTTCCACTTATTAAATAAAGATACGTTTCAGAGAAAATGCTGCCTATTGAGGCTTATGGGCAGGAAGTGCATTTTGCTAAAATTTTAGCTAAAAGTCGCTATTCCAAGTTGTTTACGCCTGAACCTCTGGTTTGAAAATAGGAGGACATGTAACCTCTTTAGCACTTTTAAAATGATTAAAATAAGGGAAGCGTTTAGGGCATAAATAGCTTGGGCATTGATTCAGGAGAACTCTCACGATACAATTAAAAAGGTAATCGATAAAATTGAGTTATCAAGCGTTCCGAAAAAATATGACTGCATTAAAATGTAAGTGACATTTTAACCAATGGGAATTGAAGTTCATTTACCCATTTTCATTTGTCTCTTACTTTTAACAAGTACATGGGCAATCAAATTACTGTGTTAGCGTTCCATTTTATTTGTTTGAAATAGTAAATCTAATGATAAATAGGAGGCTTTAAATATTTTATATGTAAATTATAAAAATCATTGAAGGACAGCACATTGGGAAGAGTGGCATTCTGTAGTCCCTTTTAAAGAAAAATACGCTTCCTTAGGTATTTCTCAATTAAACTGCTTCAGGATATGGTCAGGTGGTATCGATTCGGAAACATCTAGAATTTTATGCATACACAATAGACCCCGTGTCATCAGCGCACAGGCTTGAAGTAAATCATCTTTAAATTCAAGTGAAAGGAAGTACTCACCTGTTCTTGTAGTTGTGAGACAGCCTTGATGATGGAAGAAAGAGCTCTCTGGCTTTCCGTAATGAGTGAACGCGCATGAATCACTTCTTCCTTGATCCTCGCGTTACCTGCAGCACTGTTCAGTTGTTCAGACTGGCTCTGTTAGTAAAAGAATGCAAGATACAAATACGACACCTAGAAGGAGGCGATATTGAAATAGCATTATATCAACGTGAATCCTATTCGTAAAGGTTTTCTTTTATTCTTGCCCCCCCCCCCCCCGACTTTATTCCAAATCTACACCCCAGGAGCCTGCTATCCAGGCTTGTCGCTCTATTTGTTAATCGACTCTTCGCTTGTTTGCAATTTTCTTTTCAGTTATTCATCAATTGAAAGCGGACATGATACACGTGCTCCCTCCGTTTAAATATCACACTTTATGTTTCTTTCCTTCAATTTGTGAGTAATTGGGATTAGCGAAAGCCTTACTCACATATCGTGTTTACCTCCATAGCATTGTGCTTAATTTAAGAGCAATAACATTTTCCATAGCCATTTGACACTAAAGTTTTTAAGTTACTATATTAACATATGTATGACTTTTGCCAATGTGTGCGAAATTAATAATTTAACAAAAAAGTGACCAATATAAGAGTTCATTACCTTGACTCAGCTGACACTAAAGCTAACTAAGACAGTAAAATTGTTTAAATATTTTGTCACTATTCCATCCCCTTGACACGAATCTTATTACTGCTACCAATGCGAAAATAGGCAAAAGAATTTTGCGAGAAAATTAGTCTTCTTTTTCAATTACTAAATAACACAATGCAGCTCTAGAACCGACTCCTCATTTATTTTTCTGATTTTGCCCCTCACACTTCTTGCGGCAATCGGAAAATGCCTAAAATATTAATCAACTGTACGTTAAAAACCTACCACTTCTTTTCAAACAGAGAAAAAGATAAACAAAAAAATATTTCATAGAGTAAGTGAGATTGATATGCCTTAAGCAAACTAAGGCAATAGTAAAAATCGAAAATGCACTTTAGAAGTTCCCATAGGAGTGGATCACTGGACTTCGTATTGATAGAAATAATTACCGGCTTTTCTCTAGTGAGCGCATACCGATGCGTTTTCCATATCAATAGCAGTTTTCTCCTGCTCAGTGCTTGGAATAATTTGATCTTACAATACCTGGACGTCAGCGTGACGTCGCTAAAAATGTCTCTCTCCGGTTTTCGAATTATTTAATATCGTCTCCATCTTCAGAGGACGCAGAACTACAGATAGGCACACTGAGAAGAAGAAAACCGAACATCTAATTCACCTGTAGTCTGAATATGCTAATTCATGCGTTGTAACTCGTTGAAATTAACAGAAACTGGCTATTGAGGCATTCAGTGAGTGATTTCTAAGGTCAAAATTGCTAATTCAGATATCGCACCACTACAAAGAAGTAATTATTCATTAAATGTGTTCTGAAACAAATATTATAAAGTAACCTAAGCGATTTATTTACGCGCTTATAAGTATTCTATTTACCAAGGAGATGATTGGTTAAATTCTTATTCTATTGAACCGAGTAGAGTGTACAGTGGAACATATCACCCTTCCTTTCACAAAATAACGTATTTTCCTACCTAATTGGCTGAATATTAGAATATATGCTAATTTTGTTAATGATAAATATTTGTATACCCTACTCCATCATAAAAAAATTGAGGGAAAAGGCGATCTTCCAAAAGACCCAAAGGAACCCACCTAAACAATGTTATCCTATTGTCCGATGTCATTAATGATTATGCAAATAGGCCAGAATAAATCGATACAGTCTTGAAAAATCAATTCTATGAGCAATAAATATCGGTAAGGAGCTCTTCCTCAATTTATTTTCAAATAAAAACCAAGGGAAGTGCAGTGTCTGATTTGATACCTGTGCCAAAGCAGACGATTTTCCGTCTTTAGAACAAGTGGGGTCCCCCGCCCAATTTGTTATAATTGTCTTGGCTTCCTCCATCCTTCTAGCATCTTGGCCAAAAGTAGAAAATGCCTTCAAAATAAAACTAATAATTTAGGCCACTCTTAAACATGATCGTTAAGATGACAGTAGTACTACCATCCAATCTTTAGTATCTCAAAAATTCGAACGAACCGTAATTTAAATGGTAATTATCAAGAGAAATCACAGCTCAGTCCTGAAAACTGGGCCTTTACATTTCTCCCATGTAAGCCCTCTTCCTAGCTTATTCCTTATCGATTAAAACTTTTTTTAAAAAAATTCGAGACATGAAGGGTTCCATGAGGCAAAGACACCAATTAGAACGGGATCTTCGAATTTCGCGTTCTCCACGGCTTATAATATTCAAAATAAATATTCAATTTTTTTACAAGATCTAAGTAAAACAAACACACCCTTTAAATCCAAGGGACAAATCGCAAACTTATAATTTCTTGTTAGACTGCATTCACTTTGCACTCGTTACAATTTATTATGTTGCAGGGATATTCGCAAGTACTACAACGATTACATGTCGGGTAAACTAGTCATTAATTCATCTCTACCTACACGATATCTCTCTTAAGTAAGGATGAATAGGGGTATTTATAAGCGTATTATAGTGTACAGATTGTTCGAATAAGTAAGAACTCGCAAAAAGACGATAAGCCACCAATAATATCTATTCACTCTCTTATTATAGACGTTATATACGGGGTAGAAGGGAATATTTTCCTTAAAATGTGAATTTATCGATTTATGGATTGGTCCTCACTAGAAGAATTCAGGCATTAAGTCAACTTGTGTTTAGCTGGTATTCGCCTTCTCTCTATTTACATCTTATCGCATCTTACTTCTTTCTATAAGCAGCCTTTATATTTTTTATGCAATTAATTTATTTAAAGTATATAACTAATGTTAAATTTTGGCGACTAATGACCAATAAAAATGGAGTTATTTAATTTTTTTAAATAGTATGAAAATTAGTCGATAGCTTAATCAATCAAGTCGGATTTTGCAGCACCTTGTCTTTGCTAAAAATATGAAGTCATTAATTATAGCTAAATCAAAATAGATTTAAATTTCACTCAGTACCCTAGATGTGCCTATTTGGAAAAATAGTTTCATCTCGACTGTCTTTTGCCAAAAAATACCTAAAGTACGTAGTCAATTTAAACGTCATTTTGAAAAGACAGAGAAATCAAAGAAAGCGGTTTGATGTCCTTTTCAGCCTCCACGTGGGCAAAATAGCTCGGCTGTTGTCAAACGATAAGGTCGACCACAAATATAGCTTATAATGACAAAACTATTCGCACTTTGAAAATTTACGCAAGAAATTTATCATGTTTTGCCTGCCTTTTTATTAATAAAAACGTCTAACTCAGAACCCAAAAAATGGCGTTTTTGGTTTAGCATTAATGATGTCGACTAATAGTTGCTTTAATATTTGAAATTCAATATCTTTGTGGCAATGAAATGGGAATTCAAACTAGCCTAATGGACTTAAAAGGTGAAGAGTTGACTGTTTAATTAACACGATTTTGTGGGTATATCTAGGAGATAATGAAAATGAACTCTGGCTTAGAAGATGAAAAAGCAAGATGTGTGTAGCTAGCTAAATCACGACAGCAACCAACAGCGTGACGTCGGCTGCATCAAGACAAGGATAAGAGGGAATAGTTGATCTGAGTGAAACTTCAACGCAAAAAAACAGTTCATGACTTGAAGCCCGTTAGACTTCCTAATGCTCTAATGAAAAGCATCATATGTTTAACGAAAGGAGAAGGTAGGAATTGAACAATGAGCAAGTAGGTAAGAATAATCAAGCTGCAAATGCATTTTGTGGTGAGTGGAATCTACAAATCGGAGGTGAGATAAGAGAGGAAACCAATAAACCACTTTATGACCATGGGGTGAGCCAAAAGTCCATCTACACCAAGATGGCGATAAAATGGGAAAAAAGCTGCGTACGAATCACTACAACGGATGGCATAGGTATGGAATATGACCATTCATTCAAAAGATTTTTCCTACTTTCAGTTCAAATAATCAAATATTAACATCGGAAGATCACGAGAAATCCGTCTAGAATTTCATCTTCAATTGATACGATGGTAGGTAAGCAAATAAACAACGCTTATTAGTTAATAGAACACATTGTGAGTAAGAAAAGTCTCCCAGTTAAACAAGTCTGCATTTTTCCACACAGCATTGATAAATGTTTTTTTAGTATTTTCCCATTTAGTGAGAAAAAACCAAACTTCCTTACTAGTATGATGTAAAACCGAAAAGGATATGCATTTCTAGCTTATTTTAGCTACTCTATCCATGCATAGTGGCCAATGAAAAGATTTGCGAATTCAAATGTCCGATGTATCGGATATCACCTCCCACCATCTACCTTCCATACTTATTTATTCAGAAGTGCAAAAAAATCTAAATCCAAATTTTTAACAATTTTATCTAACTAAGAAGCTTCATCGGAATAGAATTTATGTGACTCTCGGCGTTTGTTAGAATTAAAACTTTCAACCAGAAAAAACTATCGTTATTCGAGAACGGAAATGTTAAAAAATTCTGATTATAATTATTGTACAATTATATAATAAGCTCTATAATGGTAGAATTGACAGAGAAGTTGAAATAAATATCCACAATTTGAATAAAATTGAACACTTTTATTCAATGTGCAATCCAATGAGAGAGAATAATTCAGTTATATTCCTTCTTTTTTGATTCCATCGGTACATTAAAGTGACTTTTATTAACTCATTTATTAAATCAATCGTTCTTCATAAACAAAAGTACATTTTGAACTCTTTTATAAAGATAGCTAGAAACTAACTGAAATTGAATGCTCGTGGTTCAAACATCATTGGTGAATTCTGATAAGCTTTTACCTGCTCTAAGGAGGAACTAATTATTTTAAATCCAAAGCACCTTTTGTACCATGTATTTGTCCACATCAGTTGTAAAATTGATCCCCTACAAACTATAGGAAATCAATAACTTATGGGCATCTGGATCGATAAATTTAAATCATCACTATTTAAATAACCAGAATTCCTTTTAATAGAAATTGCCTTTTTTAGACTGGGCATGTTCACCATCAACCAACTAACGATGCCGCAGATTACGAAAGACTGATCTAAACGAAAAATGTTTGACAAGGCTTCCGTGACTATCCCTAGATTTGAGTGACCTCTTCTATTAATAGTAAATGTTATTTTAGTTTGAACTCAAGATTTTAAAAGTATCTTTACAGTTTCATATCATGTTAAACACAAATTCTATTCACCGATATGAAAAATTTTCATTACACCATAAATATATCGACCTTTGTGCGCGAAGGAGATTTTAGAATTTCGAAGAATGTTAAACCAATTTTTTCGTTGGGAAAATCAACTTCACGTCTTAGATGTTTGCGATAAATGCATCGCATTCCTAATAAATAGAATACAATAATAGAATAAAATATCGTATTATTTTGTTTGCAACTGTTGCCCAGGGGTTTTTAAAGAATATTATCTTTTAAGACCGTATATTCAGAAGGGCAATTCGCACTAAAATCTATAATGTGCTTTATGGCAAGTCAAGTCGACTTTTTAAGAAGATAACTAAGTCGTGAAGGATTTTAAATGATCATTCATCGTACGTAATATTTCATAAACTTCATTGAATAAATAAAAGATGTAAATAGGTTTTATCAAAACACTGACTAAACAAATCTCAAAGGATAACCAGGATGCCCTCATCAGTTTTGAAATACATCAGTGGACGTTTTGACAACCAGTTCAATTTCATGAATCATAATCCAGTTGACATATTCAATATGCTTGTTTTATTCTTCTCTACTTTATTTGCCTTCAGCAGTGTTCCCTTCCCCTTACCAGTCTACTTGAAGAAATTTAGTTACCTTGACATTTCCTGCGGTTTTCTCAAGACCTAAGTAACAATTGAAGAAACAATATGTGTCACGCCAGAATTTAAATCAACCTCTCGTTTACAAATTTGGTTTATAAACTGAGCTCAAAGCTATACCTTACTCCTAGTTCGTTTTGAAGTAGCATTTCAAAGCTATCACGACATGAAATATTAACATAACTTCTTACTTGCAGATTCTGAAGACGCATATCAAGGACCTTCTGTGAGCGCTGAATCCCATCCAACTGTGGCAGTTGGATATTGAAGGGATTCATAAAACCGATAGGTATTCCACCTCCAGCAACGATAGAATATCTTTTTGCTCCGCTGCGGCGCCCGCGACGTGACGACGCACTGGTAGTACCTCCTGCAATTAAACCGTCGCCAAGGCTACCAGCTGTAGTGCTGCGAGATTGCGGTATTCCTTGGGGTATGTCTTCTTCAGCATCTGAAGTATAAAATAAGGTATTAATTAAATGAATAGATCCACGGAAAGAGGTAAGACAAATTGAATAATATGTCGAATCACAATCAATAATGCAGTTGACTCAAGCAAATTTTTCAAGCCTCATTGTCAAAAATAATTGCACTACAGGAATGGAATAAGTTTCGACACCCAATCTCATTATTTGTTTTGATTTCAAAAGTAAATTTTCAATTCATGTGTATGTAAAACCATTGTGTAAAATAATGCACAATTTAGGGTAGACCTCTATAATGCCAGCTCTTGCTACCCAATTCAAATTGGTCAGAGTTAATTGAAAAGAAGTCTCAAATTTGCGACGGCCGAGTTTTCCCTACTAATCTCCCCAAAATATCTGTTTTCAAACTTTTTTATTGGTTGAATAGTAATGCAGTTTAGGTTAACAGCAATCTTGATCAGTTTAATGTATAGAGAGACTGACCATCTTCAGATCGTTACTCCTGCGGTCAACGATAACATCTATAATGAATAGCAGTTTTCATCAAGCAACATCATTCATTTCTATGTTCGCCCTCGATTTTAATTTTCAAGGCTATGACGTCATTTATTCTTCATTATCTTGGCTTTGCTGTCCCTCCCCTCTCTCTACCAGTTTCTGCGCCAATTAACATCTTCTAATAATTACTAGCTACATGATTGTCATTGATAAGACAGGAGCACACTTCTCCTAATCTTCAAAATTGATGAGAACATGACAGGTGTACGTTGTCCTCAAGGCTAGAGCTCAAGGTGATTGCTGTTGCAGCAAACTCGATTCATAGAATCCCCACCTGCTGTTAACCATTGATTGCCTTAGATAATGCATATTTCGTTATTTCAAATGAATACTAAAGCACCCAACTCATTCACTTCTGCTCCCATCCATCAGGTCTCATACGCTTTCTTACTGTTTCGGGTAGTAGAAGAATGCCTATATGGGACAGTTAAGGTCAGCTTGCGAATCGAAAATTCATCCATTTTAATTGACCATTGGCAACTGACAAATATTCCATGTCCTATTGGAAAATATATTCGGATATCTTATCAGATACACTGTTCTAATTTCTCTTCAAATGTTATAAAATTGACTAAAATTTCACAATGAATCCTGTTCAGGACTTTATTTGATTTTCGGCCGTACCGTCTGATCTCATCCTGGAAATGGGTCAACTAGATGTTCACAATGTGCATTTTCCCAAATAGTTACACGGATTGATAACGCACCGAAACAATGTCTCATATTTACCTATTCCATTTATTTCCTTCAAAAATTTATATCCCATGATTCTAAATGCTAGTATATTCCTTATCATCCGCCAGAGCACATGACAATACTCTGATAGCTGGTGCACCCTGGACAACATATATTCATAGGGCAAAAAGTCTATCACTCGGCAATGAAAAGAAGCCACAAGAGAATTTGACTTCAAATTATTCGACCCTGCTGTAACAAAGTCCTTCCGTATTTCCCTCCAGCCTCTTTCTATATTTTACCTGGTACCTAGAACTTTGTTATTTCACTTAACAGTGCTCACGTCAGTTAAACAATGATTGGTTAAAGCTGTATGCATTCGTATAAATGGACCACTTATAATCTGCTTAAACACTACACATTATGTGAATATACACGAACTTTTATAGAAAATAAAAGAGCTGGTTAAAATTCAAAATATTATACTAAGGATCGAAATCATTATCGCTTATGAAATTAATTTAGTTAGAATTATGAAAGATAATTTTCTACCGTTCAGAAAATCTTTAATTATACCTAACTAATATCCAATCTAAAAATTAAAGTACAATCTAACAAAAATATAAGAAATGGCAATTATATCCCTATGGACTAAGCAAAAAAGATTAATTTTTTGCCTGTGAAAAGAAAATCAACAATCATATTCAGATGATTTCTCTTAAACTGCAAGTTGATTAATGTTTGATTTGAGTAATTTTAAAAGAATACAGACCAAATTTTCATCCATTGCTTCCAACTCAATAATTTTCTCAAAGCAAAAATGAAAAATTGATGGAGTTTGAATTAGAATCTTTATTATAAAATATAAATTTATTGGCTTTTATTAAATTTTACAGAAAATTATCCGAAATCCGATTTTTGAAAGCTAAATTTAATATGTTTAGTATCTGATTAATGCGAACCTAAACCATTCGAAATTAATCGACATTACGTTTAAACTTAAGGAAGAGATTTATATTTGAACTTAACGAAAAATGGTTAACATGGCGTGAGTGTCAAAAAAGTCGTTTCTTATCAAGCAGAAAATTGATTTGACCACTTTTGAGAGAAAAAAACCATACTTTGTACATTCGCCAGTTGTAACGGCTTCAGCGGTGGTTAAGACAGTCTCCAAAAGCTTTCTCAAACATAGGTTTTACGGTCATTTTTAATTGAGTCAATCTTTTTACTTTAAAATTCTAAATTCAAATTATCGATTTCTGGTATTGCTCTGTAGGGAAATAATTTTTGAGTGGAATAAATGCTGATCAGTTTCGATCTTCTGAAATTCACATCACTTTACTAAAAAATAAGAACGAACTGACTGTAATAAGGAATTGATGTGAACATAAATAATTAAAAATTAATTAATTAATTGAAATCGGAGCGGACATTGAAAAGAACTGACGAATAATTAAAAATTTCAACTTTAAGAAAAGTGTTCAAATTTCATATTTTATGCCATAATATTTAAGTGGAATTGATAACTGATGTAACATTTTTAGATAAATGTGCAATTCGTAAAAACGTACCGGCAAAGTCCATTCCACCACCTCCTCCGTACATATCCGCTGCGGTTAGATCATCGGCCCGGAGGTACATACTCTCCTTCGGTTTTTCACCTTCGAGAAAAAAGCAAAATCAAATTTAAAACTTGTCAATAGATTTACCAAACTACACTTGCTCCCAATAATGTAATAAAAGCATTGAATTATTACCGCCAATAATGACTCCTGTAAAGATTTTCAAATATTCTAGTGTTCATGAGAGCGCAGAGTTGTCACCACGCCACAATCTTCAGAAACCAGTTGTTCGAGCGCAAAAAAGTCAATGGAGCAGTATAAAAATCCCCGATTCAAAATTTATCGTACAAAGTAGAACAATATGCTTTCCTTATTTCAGTCCGGGGTTCTCTAAGAACGTGTGATGAGTTGAATTTTTAACCAATAAACGGTAGTGAATCCTTACAGAGTTAAAAATATAGGCTGACACGATTGTCGTCCTTGTAGACAACCTAAGGAAAAATCTAATTTCAGGTATAACCCACACCCACACCCCAAAATAGTCTTATCACACAGCTATTTTAAGAAAATTAAGTACACCTCAACCACTCGGTATATTTTTTTTACATCTTCTCCCTTTAGCTCTCTCTCTCTTTACTTCCTTTATTGATTAGTTCGTTAAGAAGTAGGATTGAGCTGAGAATCTGTCACTCACTGATAATGCATATAAGTAAAGTTGGTCTCTCTCTACCCCTCTATTAAATGGGCCTTAATGACCAATTTCATGACTACTTGTGGGTGGATTTTTAGAAGGTTGTTAAAAGCGGTTATTTTCATAACAATTAGTCGGTTTGATGCGAACACAATATAATGTGTCTTCAAAATGTATTCTTTAAACGAAGAAATGATAAATTATTTGCCAAAATATTCTGACAGATACTGGTGTATAGTAAGAATAAAGCTAAAGATAATAGAGAATGTGGATTTTTAAGTCAATTTTCGGTCACGCAAGTATATTTTCATTTGTTAATTAAATGTTGGCTCAAGTTTGGATTTAAATTCCCCCTTAAGGAAAGCATCAGTTGTTGGTCTGATTGCTTGGGTCTCTATACTAACCGAATATTTTCTTTATTGAACTTTGTTCAATCGATTGAATACTACACGAATGTATTACTAAGAGACTATACAATTATTGCAAATAACTAATCTATTGTTCTTCCAGCACATAATTGATGTCTTTGTTACTCACCCCTTTATTATGAACCTCTTTAACTGATAAGACTCCATTTATGTCTCCAACGGAATCTTTGCCGATTATCTGCCTTTAATTTATAAAGAAAACTCCCAATATTTTCTATTTTGGAATTATAATCACAAATAATTGAGAATTATATCACTAACGACAAGTGCATGTTTACAGCATACGAAGAAACTTGGCTATAATTCATCTAAAGATCTATCAGAGACGTGCTAGTCTCAAATTTGTAAACTCGTCATAGTGGATCGCAGTAAATAACTCTATGTTTTTTTAACCTTTGAATTCAAAATTTCAAATTTTATGGTCAGTGGTACAAACTTTAGATCTGTAGCTAGATGCCATAAATTTTACTATTAACAACGTTAAACACTATTCCTTTACTCTTGTCTACATGTGTGCGTTGGAATTGTTTTGTTAGTTAGAATAACAGTTGTTGGTTAAAATAATGTTTGAGCATTTAGGCTAATAAAATTTTGTAACTAAATGATTCTGCCAATAATAATATGATTATAATAAAGGACTTATTCAAACCTGCTCATTGTACATTATCTTTTTGCAGCTACGACAAACTATGTATAATAATAATGCTAACATTATTGACTCCGCCTAAATATCAATTAATTCTTCTTAGTCCAAATGATTGAGAAGTGTACTCATCATCTACCTAAGCTGAAGACGTTGCCGGTACGACAGTTCCTGCTTCAAAACCTACATCCTTATTTGAATTACATCAATATTGAATATTTGAAGTCCCATTTTAAACCAATTATGTTCTAAATAAAAAATGAAGCGAATGAGAACATTTGAACTCTATAAACTACTACAAACAAACCTTCGGCATCCTTGGCACGCTCTCGTTTGAAAAGATATCGCCTCACTAGTCGTTGCATAATGTCAGCGTAGGAGGTTTCAAGCACATCCAGATCACGGTTTTTGCAGACTTTCTCCCGCTTGGTCTGAAAAATATCAACAAAGTAAGAAGAAATAAATACTAAAGGGATTTCAGAAGAAATCGGTTGTGGCATTAATACAAACTCAAATACCACCGATTATATTCACACACAGGGGGTGTGCGATAGATTTACCTCCACGTGGTGCACCCTGGATAACGTATATTCATACGCAAAAAGGTCTATTAACTGGCAGTTGACTTCTCACTTCACAAAAAAGTCTATTAACCGGCAGTTAACTTCGCACTTCAAACTACCCCCCACTGTATGACATATTCGACCCCTACCACAGTAATAATCTTACCTTTTCTCTGCTCTATTGTCTGTCTCTGTCACA